ATAATAAACTTAAGAAGTGATTTAAGTAGATTCAGCTCAATCTGTGCTTTAAAAAAGGATGAATGCCACTTTTATTATCACTTTTTATAAATAAAATACTAAGTGTTTGGAGAATAAGTAAAAAATAAAGTAAAATAAATCAATTGCCCCGCTGTTTTTGATAGCTCGTTGTTTTCTAGATAAGTTAAATATTTTAATCATTAAAAAGAAAAAACAACTTTTTTTATTCTAGCTGAACATTTGGTTATGAAGATCACTGAGTCAGCATCAGAACAGATACTGTACTACATTAAATATTACTATTTACTCTACAATAAGGAAAACTGGATAAAATATGATGAATAAAGAGAGATTTAAACAACAAACCAGATTAACTTCCATTTTTAATTCAACCAAGAATTCTTCTGCAGGACAGATTTAGTAAAAGAACAGTTTTATAAAAGGAACGAAGCACAAAAAGTAAGGAAACATGAGTTTGGCAGGAGATTTCTTTGTTGTAACAAGGCTTGTTAGCGTTAAATCGTACGRTGCCACATGTGTAAGGAACATGCGTTTGTGGGATGAGCAGTAGAGCTGAGGACGTGAGTCGCAGACATGAAAAATCTGCCAACTGATTTTGAGCTTCTGGTACTTCCTGGTGTTCAAACACACATTTCCTTACTTGTTGTGCAAACTTTACTGAAGCCCTTTTTTTATGTTATTTTCTCAGTGAGGGGGTTCAGCAAACATAACAACACCTACAAATGATTTCCAGCTTCTTGTTAAGGCCTGATCTGACCCTCAGGTTCRAACACAAACACAGGCGTCCAACACGTGACTGAAGCTTCAATGAATGGCCTTAGAATGCAAAAGAGGCATGTTTGTTTTTTTTATTTTATTGATTTGTTTGTTTCTTTTGGTTAATCGTGACCATCACTGTGTACATGTGGACTCTGGGCATGCTGTGCAGGAAGTTCTAACACCTGTTCATGTTCTGTTGTGGCTTCATGTTGTTGCATTTTGTCTTTTCTGTGATTGTTTCACCAGCTGAAGTTCAGCATGTTGCACTTTTTCCTCCTCAGAGTCAGGTTGGTTCGATTGTGCAAAGTAAAGACACAAAATCTGTTTTTAGTTTGACTTTATGATGAAGCAGATGGTGTTGTCTGGTTTTTATTTATTATTTACACAACCAGACAAAGGAGGATCAAACCCAGGACCTTCTTGCTGCGAGGCATCAGTGTTAACCACTGACCCATCGTGCTGCTTTTTAACTATTTGCTCAAAAAGAGCCTCTCTGGTCTCATGCAGTGATAAAAACATGCAGTGTTTTWTTTATTTTTTTATTATTGCATGGCAGGTGGTGTGTTCTGATGCACACGTGTGCAGGTGTGCAGCATGTGTGTGAGTTTGCTGCATGTTTTGTCGCTGTTCGTGTCGGGAGAGAGACCAGGCAGCTGCTCTGCCAAAAACCCAGGAAAAAAAAAAAACCTCTTTAACCACCGTCTCCGTCTTCACACAGCAACAGTTTGAGGTCTGACGTCACAGATCTGCTTTCAAAAGACGTCAGACTTTATTTTTTTAAAAACTATCAAATATTCTGAAGTAGATTTCCGTGTAAATAATAAATGTTTTACCTGCTGCAGGTGGATTCTTGAGTTCAGTTTTAAAAAAAAGCTGAGTAAAGGTAGCATCTCTGAGCTGTGACTGTTGAAACAAAAAGCAAGTTTTCCATTACACTAGCTGCGTCTCCATTGACCATGAAAATGCGCAAATTAGAATTTCGAAAATAAATTTGCTC